ACCTTTCTCGACGACTCGCATGATCAGCTGATCAAAACGGAGTCAAATGAGAAAAATCACATAATTTGGAAAAAGTAACATACTTTGTCACGTATGAAATTTTACACCATTGTTACATATGTATAAGCCCTAAAATGTATGTGAGCGAGTAAGCATGAGATGGCGTTGCTAGAGTAACGGACGGCAGCATTAAGGGCCAATTTCACCAACCACAGTTAGCTTAACCGACGGTTAAAGTTAGCAGGATTGACCAATAGAAATGAATCCACCCTGCTTTCTATTGGTCAATCCCCTAACACACGAGAGAGCAAGCAGTGAACGTCCGAATAAAGAACGAGTATTTAATTACGTATAGTGTTGTTAATAAGTTATCCTGGCCATCCTAAGTATAACATTGGCGACGAGGATGGGATTTATAGTAAACGGGTCAGGTTACCGATTAATGCGATCGAAAGTTGAGTCAGTACAGAACTTCAGAGAACCCGAAACGCCAGAAGAAGTCAGAAGTTTCCTGGGGTTGGTCAATTTTTGCGCAGCGTTTATTCCATATATGGCAACAATTAGCGAACCTTTAAGAAGGTTTACACGAAAGAGCGAACCATTCGTGTGGGGTGAACCACAGAAAATCGTATTTCAGACGCTGAAAGATAAGCTGACGGATGCAGAAACGCTAGGTATTTATAATCCGAATGCGAGAACTAGAGTAGTTGCAGACGCTAGCCCGGTAGGCATAGGTTGTGTTCGAGGTTGTGTTTTAGCACAAGAACAGGATCGACAATGGCGAATTATAAGCTTTGCGAGTCGAAGTTTAACTGATTATGAGAAAAGATATTCACAGACGGAAAAAGAAGCTTTAGCACTTGTCTATACGTGTGAAAGATTTAAATATTGGCTTTTTGGTATTAAGTTTGAATTGGTCACAGACCATAAAGCCTTAGAATGTATATTTGCACCAAGATCAAAGCCATGCAGCCGCATAGAGAGGTGGGTGCTAAGACTTCAAATGTTCAAATACAAAGTGATATACGAAAGTGGAAAAAATAATATTGCAGATCCGTTATCTCGTTTATTAAAAATAGGTAATAACGAGGAGGAGAAAAGTAAGTGTGAGGATGAATTGTTTATCGCGTGGGTTGCAAAAGAGAGTGTGCCGAGAGCAATGTCTATCGAAGAAGTGGAAGTAGAATCGCGCGAAGATTCGTGGTTAGGTGAAGTTAGGCAAGCGATTGCGACAGGAAACTGGGAGTCATTATCCAGTACGCGGATAAAAGCAATTAAAAACGAACTTTGTGTGTACAATAATGTTGTGTTACGGGGAACGAGAATTGTACCTGAAAAGCTAAAGAAGCGAGTATTATCAATAGCGCATGAGGGACATCCAGGTATTGTTGCGATGAAGGATAGGCTAAGAAGTAAGGTTTGGTGGGCAGGAATCGATAAAGATGCGAAAAACTTTGTAAAAACGTGTGAGAGCTGCCAAATAGTGCAAAAGACAGCTAATATCTCACCGTTGAAACCAAACGCGCTGCCGGATAGTCCGTGGGAATGTTTAGCGACGGATCTCCTTGGGCCTTTGCCTTCCGGAGATTTCATTTCGTGATTATTGATTATTACAGTAAGTTCTATGAAATAGAGATAATACAATCAATTACGTCAGCAGCAATTATTGATAGATTGAAACATATATTCGCGAGGTATGGTTATCCGAATAGATTAATATCTGATAACGGAAAACAATTAGTGAGCGAAGAAATGAGAGAATACACGTCTAGGTGCGGTATTAAACTTGTTCATGTAGCGCCGTACTGGCCCCAAGCGAATGGGGAAGTCGAAAGACAAAATCGCAGTCTTCTTAAACGCATAAAAATTGCACAGCTCGAACGAAAAGACTGGAAACAAGAGATATTAGACTATCTGCTTATGTATCGCTCATCTCCACAAGCATCGACAGGGGTTTCGCCAGCGGAACTAATGTTCGGTCGAAAGATAAAAACTAAAATGCCAGAATTGCAAGGTATCAAAAATAATCTAGATGAAGCTATTAGAGATAGGGATGCTTGGAAAAAGCTTAAAAGTAAAGAGCGATATGATTTGCGAAACAATGTGAAAAAAAGTGAGTTAAAATTAGGTGACACTGTTCTACTAAAAACGATAAAGCGGGATAAATTAAGTCCGGCGTATGAAAGCGTTAAGTACGAGGTAGTTGATCGAGCCGGTGATAATGTAACGATTAAAAATGCGGATGGAAAAATGTTTAAGCGAAATGTAGCGCATGTCAAGAAATTTAATCGTGCAGGGCCTAGCGAATCCGACAAAGATGTTGAAATAATATCGGAGCAAAATGTCAAGGTAAAAACCGAATCGGAGTCGCAGGATGACTCTGTTGTTGCAACGAAGTCAGAACCAAGTGCTGATCTTAATGTAACGCAAAGTAGGCCTGTACGAGACAGAAAGTTACCAAATCACCTAAAGGATTATATAATGGAGTAGGTTTCAAGCAACGTGCAATTGTATTACTTATTACCAAAGACTTTTACGTCAAGACACAACTGTAATATAGATTGTAAGGTAAACGTTTATTCTGAGAAAGGGGAGGATGTTATATATGTATAAGCCCTAAAATGTATGTGAGCGAGTAAGCGTGAGATGGCGTTGCTAGAGTAACGGACGGCAGCATTAACACACGAGACAGCGAGCAGTGAACGTCCGAATAAAGAACGAGTATTCAATTACGTATAGTGTTGTTAATAAGTTACCCCGGCCATCCCAAGTATAACAACCATAATTCATAAAATTATTTTTCTCTTAGCAAAAATTGCCTGAAATATATTTCTGAACGTGAAAACCTACAAACAGTCACATGACTAGCACGTAGCGAGACGCCTGCCTTAACCAATATGGCGCCGATCGACTCAGTTTTAGTGAGCTTCAAATGCTGTGTTATAGTCTGTTATTAAAATGTTAATATCCATGAAAAATATTTGTGATTGGCCTGGTGCAAATCCTGCGCAGAGAAAGTTTATTGAAGGCGAAAGAGTTTAAAAGCAGAACGTATAATTAAATATGGAATAAATGAACAAAACATGAGGAGTGATGTTGTGAGCTTTACAGCTGTGTTCACAAACTTCTCACAGCAGTTTTCTTCAAGCGTCTCGTTTTTGCAACAACATCATCAAATTATTCACCGTTAATTATTATTGAAAATGTATCTTTTACACATTCACGATGCTTTAGGTTAAACAAATTCTCAACTAATTTTTCCTGTCAAAAATTAACTTACCTGGCAGTATATAAGCCTCTTTCTTGAAATGGAGTGAACACATTCTCATATAAGGGATCCCTTTCTTTATCTTCAATGCATTTTTCCAGGCTTTGAAACGACCAATTTTCTCTAAATTGTGCCAAAATAATTTGACATGTACAAAGCACTCTTTGGGCTTGGGAAAGCGATGAAATCGAACATTTAAATTACTATCAACCTTACTTCCACAACCGCGAACTGAACACTTAGTTCTTGCCGCAGATTTACAACGCGGAAAAACATCATCCATATTAATAAAAATACAACGCAAAGCCAGTACGACTGCACGTCTGACGCCTGTACAATGCCACGAGATCTGTGAGCCCTGAGTGCTTTCACTTTCGACCACCAGATGTCATGGCGACCAATGTCAGATCCCAATTAAAGGAAGTAATTTGCTGATATACATATGTGTATAGAAAGTACATATACATGTACAAATACATCCCACTTCTGCTTACAGGGCAAAATGAGGTCTATCATTGTATGGTTCAGGTTTTCAACTTTCCATGTGAAGCGAGGTCCATCCCTACCCATCCCTGCTTGTGGAAAAGGGGCGATAGTCTTTTTCCCACCTATATGTATATTGTCTATGCACACATATTAGTAAATTATTTCTCTTACCGCCCCAGTCAAACTCCCCGCCTGGCAGTGTCCTCGAATCGGATCACGCGGGAGTATTAACGGCGATCGGCCGCGAGGCCTCACGCCACTCTGACACGCTTGGCTCTAGAACACCGTGACCGCCGGGGCACGAAGCCCTCGGGGCACGCGCTCCGCCTAACCGAGTAAGTAAGGAAACGATGAAAGTAGTGGTATTTCACCGGCGATGTTGCCATCTCCCACTTATGCTACACCTCTCATGTCTCCTTACAGTGCCAGACTAGAGTCAAGCTCAACAGGGTCTTCTTTCCCCGCTAATTTTTCCAAGCCCGTTCCCTTGGCAGTGGTTTCGCTAGATAGTAGATAGGGACAGTGGGAATCTCGTTAATCCATTCATGCGCGTCACTAATTAGATGACGAGGCATTTGGCTACCTTAGGCTCTCTTAGTATCGACACAAACCGTTATATTTCTCAAACTTTTTTTGTTCATAACTTTTAAATAAGCAATGAGCGACGATTAAGTTATAAAAAAAGTTACTTAGAACCATGTCCTTGACAACATATGTCAAGGTCAAGGTCATCGTAGGTGGATTCCCTATTCGATATATTTATTATAACTAGACCTACTTTGGATCACGACATAGGTCAATCCGCGATCAAGTCGCTGGGTGTAAACATAGTCATTATTATGTAGCTCATTGAATTATACAGTAGAGTGTGTAATAAAGACATTTTAAAAATTCTATTCATAAAGTAAATGTATAATATTTTACAATTGTAATTTAAAAATAAATTTAACTGCATCATTATTATTTCCTGTTGTTAATTAAACAATTTTTATATTAGTAACTGTTTATTTTATGCAATTAGTGACTAAAACTAAAAGATGTGTTAATATAATGACTATATTGTTATGAACAACTTATAGACAACTAAGACAACTCACAACTGTCAGACAACTGTTTAATCATAATTCCATGCTTGGTCAAATTTTAAATTTAATTATATTTATAAAAACAACTGTTTTTCTTTTAAAAGCTACTATTTACATTATAAAAATATAAAATAATATATAATTCAAGTCACATTACATACCCTCCAGGTTCTAATTCTATTACTCCATCTCCACCCATCCATGAATGCGCTAAGATTTGAGATATACTTAAACGTCGCTCTGGTTCTACCACCAACATGTGTCTAATCAATTTTTCGCAATCTACAAAAATAATAAAAATGTTATTCAAATTACACAATAATTATACATTATGTATGTGTATTCTCTTAAATGTAGTTAAAATAAAAGGGAAAATGTATAAATGTTAAAAGAAGCTACTCAATTCCTGAATACACAGTCTCATTATAAATTCTATCAATAAATAATATATAATTGATATATATAATTTTTAATAAATAAATTTTTATATAAATAACATATAATTTTTAAATATATCTTACTGAATCCTATACGAGAGTTTTTAAAGTCGCAAAATCTAAAGACAAAAAGAGTCAAAATGACAGATCCCATATAGCAAGCAAATTTTTAAAAAATTTAATTATGCTTTACATATAACTAAAATTTTATACGTAAGTTTTTTTAGGCTTCTACTTTTAAGTCTACAAAGTCAAAGTTGAAAATTAAAAATGACGTACTTAATATTGAAAAAATCTTTGGTATTTATTAACGAATAAGTCTTCATTTTATAATCCAAAACTAGTAATAAAAACTAGTGGGAAGAAGCCTCAAATTAAGAGACATGACAGTATCTCGCGCCAAGTATAAACGCCTGCGACACTGGCAAGAAGATCGAAAGTATCTCTATACCTTAAGCATCAAATTGAGTGGAGGCGCGATGGCCATATCTAAAAAACGGCTAAACGGATAAAATTTTTAATAAACTTAATCAATTGCTTGGCATTATATTATATAATAATAGTGTTTTTATTTTTTTTCTACATTGCATGTTAATGGGAGATTTTTAATATACAGGTATGTTAAAACCAGGTAATTTGGATTTAAGAAACGTCGTCACCATCGTTGCCGTCCTGCTGTCCCCTTATAAATCGAAATTTCAATACTCGCATACACCCTCACATCCTTTACACAGAAGTGTAAGAACTGACCTTTAGCCACGCCTTCATTTGTCCACTCCCATCTTCCTCCTAACCACTCCAAACACCTTAATATATTTCGACACGTCTCAACGTAACCTAACATACCTTTACCCATCCATATCACCACTCATTCTACTCCCTCACCCTAAAACACCCTCAATACACTCTGACATGTCCCTACATAGCTCATCACATCCTTATCCACCCAATATACATTATCACCCATCTTCTCTCCCTCAAGCAAACCCCTCACCCTAAACATTTCAATACAACCTGACACGTCGCAATACAACCTTATCAATCCAATTATATGTATATCATATTAAATCTATATATTGTTAGTTTTAATGTCAGTTTTAGCGTTTCGAATCTTAATAGTTATCGTCAAAACTTGTGAGATTCTAGGGGCCTATTACGTATCATTTCACGAGGTGAAAATGCAAAAAATGAGAGAATTCACTAGAGTATCTGCGATTTCATTGCCCGAAATCTAATAAATCTGTTCACTTTTCGCATCTTTACCTCGTGAAAAGATACGTAATATATTTTCCTGAGCTCCCTGCTCAGAGAGCTGATTAGATTGCCACAATTCCAAAAGAATTTTTGCTCTGTGAAATTAATATTTTCCTCGGAGTTCTGGGTAGCACCCCAAAAGTTCTGAAGATTATCCTTATAAATCATATCGTTAAAAGCAAAATTGAAAGAGTTCTCGTCGATCCTGTTAGCTAGATTGAGAAATTTTTAAGTTCAAAAAATTTTTTGGGGAAAATTAATGTTTTCTTCGAAGTTCTGGATATCTCAAAAGTTCTCCCGGGAAAAAAAGATTAGATCTGACTAGATCAAATTATATCTCAGCAGATCAAATTTTATCTGGTCAAACATGCTCAGATATGACTTCTCATGTCGCCCAGATCTGGTCATATATGTTTATATATAACTATATATAACTACATATATATATGGGGCGTAATCTGGTCTTCGACGGCTCAGATCGGACCATATCTACTCAGATCGAACCATATCTGTGATTGAATTTCATCGAAACAGTCCAGATCTGACTGTATCTGTTTAGATATAACCATATCGTCTATATCTATACTCGAATGCGATCCAAAATACATTACATCTGACCATATCTGTCCAGATATAAGTTGAATTGAGGTTGTGTTTGATCAAAAACCGTTCAGGTCTGACGATATCTGGCCATGTTTAACTGTAATAAATTAAACGTTCGATGATCGATATTCGTCTAATGAGATATTTAAATATATAAATATGAATTTATTTATACGTAGCAAATTAAAAATATTTAATTATATATATTTGATATAATTATATAAAAATAATTTATGATAAAGATATAATTTGCAAAAAACAAGTTATTTTTTATAAACAAAAAAATGTTAGTTATTTGTTATAGAAGCATTTTCATCAATTCGCCTTATATCTAAAATACAAAGACAATCACAGAAATATAAGTTATTTCATACATTGTAAGCTTACAGATGATGGATAAACAAAAGTGAAATAATTCTCAATTTATTATTTAATAGCTAGATTACATTAAAAATTTTGTTGAAGTTATTTGGAGATTTGCATAAATAATTATCAACTTGAATAAGAATTATTAGAGACTTTACATTTTTTACTTTAATTAATAAGAATTTTTTATTGGTTATACAGAGTGTAACAAACAGGTCTAAAATTGTTGTAAAAAAAAACCAATTTAAATTTGATTGCATTTTGTAGAAGCATTGAATTTTGCAAAATTGCAAATGTAATAAAAATTAATATTATTATTCGATTCCTTTCATTATTTTACATATAAAAGTATAAAGGTAAAGTTATCAAAAAGTGACTACTTTATAAGATATCTCATATTTTCCTCTTCTAAAAAGGGGATGTCGTAGGTATTGTTGTCACTTTTCCGCGATGCCGATTGGTTCTCTTGCTGCGCTTACTTCATTTGCAGCTGTCATTATTTTGACAGTTGTGTGTATCAAGGGTTAATAGTGTAATAGTAATAGCATAATGTTAAAGCTAAATAGCGCGCGCGAAGCGCGCGTCTGTAGTGTCTAGTCCACTCTTAAAAAAGGCGTGTTAAGTCGATAGTCGAATTAATTGTTGCCTTTTTACCGCGATGCTGATTGGTTATCTTGATTAATTGCCGCGCCGTAGCTTGCTTCATCCCGTGAGGGACTGTCATCGCGGAGTGTGTTTTGACAGTTTGAATGTTAGCGTATTGTCGTGTGAGCATAATAGTGTAACGTAGTAAAAATCAAATAATAGTATTTAAAGTTAAGTTATAATAAAAAGTATAAAATTAAAAAAGCTAAATAACGCGCGCGCAGCGCGCATCTGTGAACGGTTGTTTTAGATAAATTCTATATAATGTTTTTATTATAATTTTTAGTATTTTATTATTTTACATAAGATACTTTGTGTTATCTTCCTATTTCAGTTATTAACAGTTTTCATAAATGTTGCTAACAATATGTTTTCTGTACAAATGTTTTGTGCACACAACAGTAGTAAAATTACTACTATATAAGGTTATATAAAGATACGTATAAAGAGAGAGAAATATATGCATGGCCGGCAATCTTGAAACCTGCTGACGTTTGAGAATATTGAAAAGAGACAGCATATATACGCACGTGTGCGCTCAGTGCAGACAGTGTGTGCAAATTGAAAAGTGTCAAAAAAGAGAAAGAAAGAGAAGGAGACAGGGAGAAAAAGTGAGAGGTAAGCCTTAAACTAATAATTAAACTTATATTGTGCGTAACTCATTTACGATGAAAATGATAACGTGTTTTGTTCATAATTTTATTATTCGTTGTGATTAGATATTATTATATAAAGTTAAAAATGATGAACAAGAGGAAAAGAAAAAAACAGAAAAAAAGAGAGAAAAAGAGAGAGAAAAAAAGAAGCAGGTAAGCCTTAAAATAAAAATAAAAATAATAATAAAAATATAAGTTAAACTTATATTGTGCGTAACTCGTCTACGATGGAGATGATAATATCGTGTTCATTCGTAATTTTTTTATTCTTCCGTGATTAGATATCGCAAAGTTGAAAATGATGAACAAGAGGAAAAGAAGAAAACAGAAAGAAAGAGAAAAGAAAAAGAGGCAGGTAAGCCTTAAAATAATAATTGAACTTATATTATACGTAACACGTCTACGATGAAGATGATGATAGAGCGTTCGTTCGTAATTTTTTCATTCTTTGTGATTAGACATTACAAAGTTAAAGATGATGAACAAGAGAAAAAGAAGGAGACAAAGAAAAAAGAGAGAAAGATGGAGGAAAAGAGAAAAAAGTAAGTTTTAAAAAAATAATTAAACTTATATTGTGCGTAAATCGTCGACGATAAAGATGGTGATAGTAATTGTGTTAGTAATTTTTTTGTTCTCTGTAATTAGATATGACAAAGTTGAGGATAATAAATAAGAGAAAAAGAAGAAAAGTCGAGAGAGACAGAGAGAAAGGAAAAGAAGAAGAAGAAGAAGAAAGAGATATTTGATTTGATATATATTTAATATGCCCAAGCATAGGCTGAAGGGCAAAGAAACAAAATGGCAAGATAACGACATAAAAATATCTGTAAAAACTAGCATACATAAACAATAATTTTAAAAAAGAGAGAGACAGAGAGAGAGAGAAAGAGAGGCAAGGTCTTAAAATAATAATTAGACTTATATTATGCATAATTCGTCTACGATGAAGATGATGATAGCGTGATATTACAAAGTTAAAAATGATGAACAAGAGGAGAAGTAGACAGAGAAAGAGAAAGATAAGGAGAGAAAAAGAAAAAAAAGGAAACAGAGAAAGAGAAAGAGAGAAGAAGATAAGCCTTCAAATAATAATTAAACTTATATATTGTGCGTAACTCGTCGACGATTAATATTGTGATAGCGTGTTTCTTCATAATTTTTTTTCTCCGTGATTAGATGTGTTTGACAAAGTTAAAGACGATGAACAAGAGAGGGAAAAAGTAGAAGACAGACAGAGAGAGGGGGAAAGAGGGGAAGAGGAAAGAGACACAGAGAGAGAGAGAGAGAGAGAGAGAGAGAGAGAGAGAGAAGTTGAGAATTT